TTTGTAAAATAACAAATTTGTTTTATGATTTTCTCAACTGTGCTTAACTACAATTGTTTTGCGCTAATATTCAATTTTTGGAGAAGGTGAAGGGAAAATGACTGAAAAGGAACTTATTGCTTAGAACTAGAGAATTATAGTAACCCTTGCATAACTTTCTGTCATAACTTGTCTTGAATTTCCAGAATTTTGTCAGTTCTCTGAATTTGGTTTTGAGTTCTGATCATTCGATTGTTATACAACTAGTAGTTTCCAAATCATAAAGTAAATGTTGCATATTAGAACTGCAATGGAAGATACGACTCCCTCGGTCTCAAAATAACCTCAAACAGATTCATCAGGTAGCCACTCCGCTGAATTATTGATATTTCAAGTAGGTTTATGAGGATATAATCATGGCTGTTTGTATAAAGCTACATATTCGAAAATGTACACACCACATATTTTCTCTGAAATTGGAAATTTAGTCAAGGAAATGGTCTGTATCACTTTCCATTCACCAGATGAAAGATATATTTTGATAAATTATGAAATCTGAAGAATATATTTGAAATCTATTGCCTATCAAAATTTGTGCATGTCCTCAGTTGAAAAAAAAAGATTCGACAATGCATCTAGAACTCTTATATCTATGTAAATAATGTTCGAATTATTTGAGGCGAATGAAATCAGTCGTGTGAAAAATTTCGATACAGTAATTTCAAAGTTATGAATGAAATCAACATTTTCCTATGCTCCTAGTTATTTTCTGTACTATTGAATTTATAGTAAAATATTGAGATATTCAATAAAATTTCAAAGAAACAAGAGGATGAATTCCTAATCCATAACTTGTTAACATTCAACAATATCTGCTGTAAGTATACCCACTGTGATTCTTAAGTGCATAAAGATCATAACGGCAAGAGTCACATAATTGTTCATATCTAATCCATCTCGAGGAAATTCGATGGTCACACTCAAATTGCCTGTGAATCTTTCTGTTAGAGAGAATCTTTTAAAACGAATGACTGAAATACGGGGAAATCTATTGATTGATAAAGACTTTGTGCACTTTCTTCTTTCCTTGCAACTCGAACACATGGGTTTTTCATGTCCATCCAAAGTTTCCTTTTTTGTGAAGAAATCCAAGCATTGAGATGGGGATGTGGTATGGGGAGTGACAAATCCCAAAAATAATCGAAAGTTACAGATAAGTGTCCACAGTGTGTACACTTCATCGTGGATTTTAATTGATCAACGGAACTTTCTACAATCTTAGAGTTATATGTACTCAAATGATTCTTCCTATTATTGGACCGGAATGAGGAATTTGAAGTTAAGTTGTTTGAAACTGAATTAGATTCATGGTAGTTTTCTCGAATTTGTGGGAGAATGGTAATTCCAGAATTTGTTTATTTTTCTCTGAAAAAAGCGGAAAATGATCAATAATTCAAGAGTTATGATTGTTTCAGAATGTTGTTAAGAATTAAAAATTCGGCCATGTGTGATATCGGTTTTGCTACAGACGTCAAGTGAGACGTATTTGTCATTTACGTAGATATTGAGTGCACGTTTTTGTAGGTGTTTTTGAAAGTTTCAGGATAAATGGTCAATACAAGAGACTTATATCACGAAGAGTGCGAATGAGTGTATTTTAGCTGTTAGTTGTACTTGCTATTCAACTCCAAACAATGGTTGCACCTCGTGAGTTAAATGAGAAATGCCAAGCAATTGTTATTTCTGTTGAGGCTCATCGCAATTATCATGAGGCTGTTCTACAGATGTTCAATGAACGTTTCCAGATCGCTCTATAGACAGACATTATTTCAAACAGTTAGTGAAAGAATTTCATGATAACGGCAGTGTGCAAAATAAAAAACGTTCTGGGCTATCAACTACAGGGGAAGATAGACCAGTGGACATTATAAGCGAGTTTGTGGATACGAGTAATCATTCCTTATCGAGTAGAACTTTGCCTTGAATTGTGAGGTTTTGCAGATGAAGGTATCGAAAGTTCTGAAGAAAATTAATTCCATTTCCACAAAATAAAAATGGTGCATGAACTGACGGACGATGATCCAGACCGCCGTCTAGAATACTTTCAAATTGTTTCTAGCAATATATTGCAAAATCCCAGCTATTTTAAACACATTTGTTTCAGTGATGAGGTTACTTTTTTTAACGGTCACGTGCATAGACAAAATGTGAGCTACTGGTCCGATAAAAATCCTCGACTTTTTCGCGAAATTTATACCCAGTTTCCTCAAAAAGTGTGGGCAGGAATACTAAGTGTTCACATTATAGGTCCGTTATTCATTGAGGAAAATCTGATTGGTGCCCTCTATTGAAAAGTGCTGTAAACACTAATAGATTCACTGATAGTGGCAACTGTCGAAAATAATTTGGACGAATTTGACACAGATATTATTCTGCAACAAGATGGAACTCCTTTTCATTATGCAGTTACTCTGAGGACTTTTCTGAATACTTTTTCCGCAGGACGATGGATCGGGAGCCGAAGATTTGTGGAATAGTCTCCAAGATCACCAGATCTGACTCCTTTAGATTTCTTCCTATAGAGTTACCTGAAATCTAAAGTCTAGTTGCGTGACGGAATTACGGAGTGTGTGCAACAATTACTCGCGATACTTTGCAAAGCGTCAGGACTGAAACTGAAAATAGACTCTACTTTTGCTAGGAGGTTACCAGATTTTTTTCAATATTCACCATAATGACAGAAAAAAATAGTGCTAGTTTAGTTAGCTTTCTGTTTCTTTGCACGGTTGAATAGAGAATAAAACCCCCTTTCAAACGAGCTACCACTCAACACCCCAGGCTATTTAAATTTTTCGACAGGGTTACTCCCATCCAGTAAGGAATGGAATTAGGGGTGAACTGTTGTACAAAAATGTAAACTGTTGAAATCACCCAGATGCTCAACGAAGCCGATTAGTTTATATAGTGAGTGCTCTTTCAGGTCAGATGGTGGAAGTGTGGTTCCACCAAACTCTGAAAACCTGTTTTGGTCCGCAGCGGGGCAGGCACAAAGTATGTGCTCTGCTGTTCAATCATTTTCCAAACAGAGACGACACACGCTGTCTTCCGATGATTCAAATGACAGTGACCTGTAAGAAGGCCTGTTAGACATTGTAGTTCATCCGTACTGTAGTCCAACACCTTCTTGCCATCCAGGTATTTAATCTTCATTTGGCTGAGCCTGAACCGATGCCAATGACAGGTTCTGGTCCGATGAAACTGCTTAGAGCACCCTTTTTTTCAAGGGAGTCAGTAGCCTCATTGCCTTCCAGGCCAGTATGGCCAGGAATCCAGATCAGAGACAATCTGTTGAGTCTTCTTATCGAGAAAAGTCGTTTTTGGCAATTTGCTATCAATTCAGACGTTGTTGGGTAGGAGCCAAGAGCTTCCAACGCCGCTTGATTGTCCGAGATTATTTTTATTGACTTGTGTATGAGGTTGGATCGTTCCAATATATCCGCACACAATTCAATAGCGCGAATTTCCGCTTGAAATACAATCGCATAGGTTCCTAGGCAGGTGGATATCCCTGTCCTGGTTCTGCGACTGAAAACACCTGCAGCAGAACCGGAAGATGTTTTTGATCCATCTGTGAACCAACAACTATCTGCTCTTAATATTTCCTTCTGCCGGAGGATCCAGTCCACTCTATTTGGAAACAGTACTTTATAAGGCAGTTTGTAGTTGACTGTTGGAGGCATAGAGTCAGAAGTCATTTACGGATTGTGTCATTTCAGTATCAATCAACAGTCTGTTGCACTCTGCATTGAATTGATTTGTGCAACTGGCAATGTGCACAAGTCTCTATGCACTCCACCTAGCTTCTTTCTCCAGAAAAATGTGGATATGAGGTAGATCTAGAAGGATATCTATGGCCGCTGAAAGTGTGGTACTGATGGCACCACTGATGGTCAGACAAGGCTATCTCTGTAAGGCAGGTAGCTTCGTCTGGATCGTTTTCTGTCAATCTTTCAGGCAACAAGCAATTTTACCATAAGCGACCATTGGTCTGACAATCATCACATGAATCCAATGAATTTGTTTGGGACCTTAACCCCATGATTTACCACAAATCCTTCGTCATGTTCATGAGGACAGTCTGGCTTCCTGTGAAACTTTTTCCAAGTGAGCGTTCCAAGTGAGTTTTTCATCAAGGAAAATGCCAAGATATTTCACCTCCGTTCAAAATGGAATCATCTCACCATTTAGGGAAGTGGCGTTAGATCGTCCAATTTTGTCCTCCTGGTGAAGGGGATTGTCACAGTTTTGCTGGGGTTTGACAGACATCTGATTCCTCAAGTACCAACTGTGAACAACGTTCAACGTACTTTGGAGAATATTACAAGCTACTCTTCCTGACGTGGACCTTGCCAAGATGACAAGGTCATCTTCATAAGCTTGTAGATCTACTTTTCTTCTGTCGAAGGCATCAATCAGACTATCCACGAGCGACCACAGATGGAGAGATAGTACCCCTCCTTGAGGAGGGGTACTGACCCTGAACCTGATGGCCTCGCCTTGAAGAGTAGCAACACGTCATAGATCCAGCCAGTTATGGTCGATTCTATACTGTTCCTAGATAGGCAGAGGACTCAATCTTCGAATATCAAAGATAAACGAGGCTGCCCAAGGCAATGAGATTCTTCTTCTTTCTTTCAGGCAACAAGTCCAACTAGTTGCCTTCAGATGTCGTCTTGGTCTTACCAAACGTTTTAATATATTTTTTTCTTTGACCTGATCATCCTTCAACATTGTGAATTTTCCAGACTAATATAGACACTGGTCTCAGAGCATTTCAAGTGTTTGCATATCCCCCTATTGGAAATTGATGTCGCTGTGTTGTTTTGAGAAAAAAAATTCATTCGGTATGTTTCAGTTCAAATTCCATTTAATCTCGACCAATTCTGAACTAGCTTTGGATGAGTAAATATTCTTTATTTCTTGCTATGTATTGGGGTATATGAATTAATAACAGAAAAATGTACAACAAACAATCATTTATTAATATTATTATAGACTAAATCGACAAACTTTTATAACATTCATTACATCCAGGTAAAAACATTACATGTATATCGATAAAAACTGTTCAAAATTCAATATTAATGACAAGGGTGCAGTGCAGTCGAATAGAATACATGGTGAATTTTTCATGGATATGTTTGATATTTTCATTTTGATTATACGATTAAATTTTTTTGATTTATTGGTGAAACGCAATAATTCAGTCAGATATATACATATTCATCAAGACAAATCTAAACGGTACTAGCTGAACATTATTAAGTGTATCATTGTTTGACAGATCTTCTGTTGAAACATAATATTAGTTCTGTAGTTGTTGTTTGTGTTGTTCCTGATAATTCTAGAGAAGAATGATTTCTTGATTCAGGTTTATGTCGATGAATCAGAAATGTAACAAAGCTTGTTTCATTCTCTAAAAGGATAAAGTTCGAATCAAAGTTCAAACTTCAAAACAACAAATTGCTCAAATGATAGAAATACTCAAGCATGAATTCTAAATCGAAATTGATCCACTGGTTTCACTACAAGAAGCGAAATGAACCACCATTTCAAGTCAAGTTGTGGAAATTGCAAAGAATCACGTATTTGTTAATAATAGAGAAGATTCAAGGCATATCAGGAATCGTGAGAAGGATGGCGCGGTGATCAATCAAGCCGTCCGTATTGAATACCTACCAAGCGGCTCTAGTTTCGGAAAGTCAGAAGGATCAAATTATTTTTGGTGATAGCAACAATGTCCTCTGACCCAATCTGTTTTTTTTATTGATGACCACATGTTCATCTGGGTATTGACTGGGAATAAATAAACTTCAGAGCTACTGTTCATCAGCTCCCGAAATCATATGACGATACAGTAGCAAATGGAGCTGTTTGTATCGATTCAAATATTTTTTGTAACTATATTTTTATAACTGTCAATGAAGACAAACTGAAAGGTATATGTTTCATGATGAACAACTTCTGATGATCATTATGAAATGTGGTATCAGTTCATTATTACTTAATCCTCGCAGATTATACATTTGGAGCTCCTAAATGAATAGGAAGTCGAAAGGAAGAAGAAGGCAATGCAATAGAAGGTTGAGAAAAGCTTCATCATAAACGATGATGAAGAACTGAAGTTAAAAGATAATGGAAGACAATGAAAAAGTTGAGTAGGAAGAGGAAGCTCCTCTCAATAAGCCCACCATAGACTGGGCGACGTCCCAGGGGTACCTGGCCTGACCTAGAGATGGCGGTGATTGAAAAATATCAGTGTATTAGAAAGTACACGAACTATGAAGCATATGTTTCAAGTTTGAAGAGGTTGCGTTGGTTAGTATTTGTTTGACAGCCATCAATAAGGAACGTTTTTGGTGGATGTAGACATGCAGAAAATCAGTCATCGTTATGTTTGAAAAAATAAAATCTGTTTAATATCTTTCTTCCGTTAATTAATCAATATTGCGGTACAATACTTTTATTTGAAAGGCTTCAACTCAACCAATACAAAAGCTGAACTGGATTCCACTCTGGGTGAGCCTGCCTCTTCGGTAACAACAGTAAAATATTGGGTAGCAGAGTTTAAACAAGGCTTTACGAGAAGCCAATAGAGCATAGCAGTGATCGACCAAACGAGGTGACTACTCTAGACGATAATCAACAAAGCGGTACTGAATGATCGTCAACTGGAAGTGCGCGAGCTAGCAGACTTAGTGGGCACTTTAAAAAGTGCGGTACATCGTATATTATTATTGAAAATTTGGACATGAGAAAGCTGTGTGCAAGATGAGTGCCGCGTTTGCACACGCTCGAGCGAATTTTCACACCAACAAAATAGAATTCTCGAGTCGTTTCATAACCAAAGATAGAAAATGAGTCAATTACTCCATACTCGAGACAAATTAACAATCAAAATAGTGGACTCAATAGGGAAACCGGCTCCAAAGAAGGCGAAGACCGATTCATCTGAAGGCCAGGTCATGACAACGGTTTTTTGGAATGCGCGTGAAATGATTTTCATTGACTATCTCGAAAAAGATAAAACTATCAACAACGAGTATTATGAGAAATGATTGCAACGTTGGAGTGGAATTATCAAGCAAAAACGGCTGCAGTTGGCTGAGAACAAAGTGTTGTTTCATGGAAACAACGCACCAGCTCAAAAATCCATTATCTCAGTGACCAAAATTGACGAATTGAAGTTTAAATTGCTACCTCATGCACCCTATTTGCCAGATTCAGTTTCTTTGGATCATTTTCTGTCCCCAAGCTTGAGGAAGTTACTCAGCAGTCAAAGATTTTCCAACTATGAAGAAGTGTTGTCGACAGTTAATGGCTATTTTGACGACAGTTATTATAAAAACGCTATTGAACTCATTGAATTTCGCTGAGAAAAGTGTATGGAGCTGCAAGAAGAGTATGTTGAAAAATAAATGATTTTTTTTGAAAATGTTGGTATTTTCTTTGTTGGGCCGGGTATTTCTGGTACTACCCTCGTAAATGACATTTCAGTCAACAAAACCCAGCAGCAGATAATCAAGATTTCTGACATTCCTCAAGCATTTTTCCAACAGGATATCATTCTCAATCCTTCAATATTCCATCAGTTGATGATCAAATTGTGCGACATTCCTTCAGAAGTTTCCTTTGAACAGATGACATCCAAGTGACTAAAACCATCGGTGTTATCGACAGGGATGTCAACTGTGAAAAAAATGCTGAAAAACTGCCCCACAATTTGATCATCAACTGCTGGAATATTGAAGGATTTGAGAGCTGGGTGGGAAAAACTGTTCGAGAATGCAAGGAAATGAAAATCTAGACATACTCTTTATCCAGGTGACGGAGTGTATTGGAGAAAAATCACAAGACTGATTAGAAACTTTATGAGAAGTATGAAATAGATGTACCAGAAATAGATAAAGACGAACGATGCACAAGTACAGAACTCAAAAAATTGTATCTTTGTTGTATGTATGTACGGAATACTGTTGAGAAGAAATCCTTTACATAATACTTGTTGTGGAAACTTCACATCCTCTACACGATATTTCTTTAACAATGGTCGAAAATGCCAGAGGCCAGAATTGTAGCTGAAATGCGTGATAAACTGCCCAACTGATGCAAGAGATTGGTGTTATTGTGAAAACCTATATGATTCGAGACGAGTTTCTAAAATTCCCAAGATGAGCAAAATCACGCATAAGGACAACATTCAATTTTATGTTGCAAGAAATACAGTCCACATGTATTGTTTCTCAACATTACTATGAGGAAATAAAAGATAGGCTGCTATGCACAGGTCATGATACTTTAATGAACGTTGCTGTAGATGCCATTGGGAATTTCAGATGAATCAATTACTCAGATAACATCCAAACGACCGAAGATGATCGAATATTTCCAAAACACTTCGATGTTCCCGTTTGTTTCATATTTTACTCTTTCCAAACTTTTGGTTGCAAAATTTTCAATTGATTTCGAAATTCTTCAATCAACTGTCATTGTTCGTGAAAATCATCACATGCATGAAATCCCGTTATGAAGGAGTCGAATTGAAAGAGGAATTGAATGGAGAATATTGGAAAGTCATTTATGATTTTGTGAGATTTCCAAACGAGAGCAGATAACAATCTTTTGCTTCATATGTTTAAGACTTTATCCAACTCCTGTTATGATATAACGTAAACTCTCAGTTGAAACCAAATCAGTCAGTTCCCAGGATGTTTTTCGAATTGATGATTTGTTTGCCACTTGCTATTGTCTGTATCAGGCAACAGAACCTGTCCCACTTACAATACGTCATGAGATCCACTCTGAAATGAATTCTTGCATCGCGTTTTTGAACTACCGAAATACTACACTTCTCAAGTGTACTCTCACCATCGACTGCACGTACACAAAACAAAATTCATTGAATAACATACGATATTCATACTTGTGTATGGGTATTGCTGTGGGGAGGCTCTTGTTCATTTCCTCCTGCTATTTGGTTGGCTGGAGTGTAGTACTGAAACAAAAAAACATCAGAATAATATATGGAATTATCAAGATGGAATTCAGGTATACAGTAGAAAAACACCACGAGTTGGAGTGAGACTATAGAGCAGGGTCTTGTGCATGATTTGTAATCAAGTTATCAAACTGTAGTGTATAGTAGAGACCGGGTATCTTCTATGGGATCCTGTACATTGGATAGATAGATAGATAGATAATTTATTGGTGTTTTATACATTCATCAGTATTTACACAAGTCAATATGTACATATAATTAAAATTAGTATATGTCAGGCATCTATTAATATTTACATAAACTAGATGCTTACAATTCATAGAACAAGTTTTTTTCTTTTTTTATAAAAAATATTTATATCTTATAAGTACATCTGAGTTATGACGACGAGCACATTTAAAAACAAAGCAGTAAAATTTAAAATTGGGTACTTTCAAACAACGACAAATGCCTATATGGTTAAGGAACTTATATCACACACTTTCATACTGAGATAGATTATTTTTTATATATATTAAATTTTCCATGATATATAGAGAAGGAAAGGTTAGTATTTTTAATGTAATGAATGAATTTCGACATTCATCTCTGTAGCCGATATTGTCTAATATTCTAATTGCTCTAATTCTTATTGATCTAAATGAGGTTGTCAAACACTTATAGCCTACATTTCAGTTTGTCGTCCTCCACGTTCAATACCAATTATGGTCCTTCTACTGACATCTGTAACTGCATTTTTAATGCATTTTAATTTATATTTGCACAGCACTCGCGAATGTTATTTTCCAGATGTTGTATGTCAGTAAATGATCTACTTCGGTACATTTTTTATTTCAGGTAACCCCACAAAAAAAAGTCTAAAGGCGTCAAGTCGGGTGATCTAGGTGGCCAATAATGTTCCCAGTTACGTCCAATAACTTTGCCTCTGAACATTCGTTGGAGGGACTATTTTACAGCAACCGTGTGATGTATTGGTGCGTCATCAAGCTGATACCATAGGTCGTATTTAATATTTGAAGGCATATTATCTAAAACTTCACCAACCTCATTATTTAAAAGGTTGAGATAACCGACGGATGATAAATTTTCCCTGAAGAAAAATGGCCCAATTATTTGGTCGTTAAGTATCCCACACCATACATTAGTTTTGAAGGAATACTGATCACCACATTCAACTGTGAAATTGGCATTTTCTTGGGCCCACCATCGGCAATTTTGAGAAATTACCGTTCCATTTGAAAAGAACGTTGCCTCATCTATCCATAAAATTTTATACGAGAACTTGCCATATTCTTCTCTCTCCCCTTGAAACCCCAAACGGACATCAAAATCTCCTTCTTTCAATGTGTTAATAAATTTTGGCTTGTAAGGCCAAAATTCATTCTTTAATAAAAATTTTCTTACACTCTCTCTCTTGTAATCGGTATTTTTTATAATATTGGTTATGCTCGTTTGCCCGTGTTCAGTAACTTTTGAATAAATGTTAAGTTGGGCCTCCTCATCATATTTACTTGGAGTGTGCTTTTTCTTAAATTGATTTGCTACGGATCCTGTTTCACTGAATTTCGACATTATCCTTGACACAGTAGTATGTTGAACATTTTTTCTTGGATGCCGTTCATTAAAAATGTTATCTACTTGCCGGTATGGTGTATTCTCACCACATATTAAAACTATTTCTATTCTTTCCTGAAAAGACAACATTATTGCAACAATAACTAACATTTTACTAATGCTTATTGCAGCTAAGTGATTGAAACTTTGCACCAGTCATGTTAAAATTTTTATAGCACATTTTTAATGTGCGTATGAGTAAAAACTCCATGATGAGTTCGTTATATATACCTGAATTGATGATAATTAACCGAACTTGTTTTTTAAAATAAAGGGGATATCTGTCAAAAATGAGTAAAACGTTAACTTTATCCTAGTTGCATAAAAATTGGCATATGGATATAAAATTGACATAGACACAACTTTTTCGAATAACTTTTTGTTAAATTCGATCTAGAAATGCATTTTTTCAATTTTTTTCAAAAAAAAAAGTTGAATTTGACAAACACTGAACATCAGTGGGTCGCAGTTGGCCGCATCATTTTGAGTTAAATTTAAAGCACAAACAAGTGCCGAAGTTAAACTTCATTGAAACTTTTCGAAAAAAAAGTTTCCCATATGGTGCGCACTTTAATGGTGACACTGTATATGGACAGTTAGTTTTTCGAATTGAAAATATATTTATGTAATAACGAAACACTATTTGAGAAGGTTGATAACTATATGTATAGACACAGAAATATTAGGAATACACTATTTAATGTATCTCTGTACGTGGCAAACTGGTAATGAAGTCATTTAATCGTTTCTTGAATCCATTTTGGTTTTTTGAACTTTTCATTCGATTGGGTAGTGAATTAAAAAATTTGAGCCTGAAGTGGCTGTAGTTTTTTGTCCTACAACTTTGTTCATAAGCGGCATTTTGAAGTTAGGTTGTTTTGTTCGAGTGTTGTATTCGCGTTCTATCCTCGGGTGTTTATGTTTTGATTTGAAGCATTCTATATTAGTAAGCAGAAAGAAGAGCTACATGGGATCAAATATATTTGTTTCGTGATAAAGAACATCTGTTGGGTGATTTCTTTCTTTTTTGAAAATCATTTTAAGGATTATTTTTTGTGTTATTATCAGTTTATTCATAGTGGACTTTCCATCTGATCCCAATACCAGTATCCCGTAAGTTATATGCGTTTGGATGAGAGCGAAATATAACGTTTTGAGTGTTTTGTTGTCTAACATGTCTCTAAGGACATTGAAACGGTGCATTAGAAATTGGAGTTTTTTTATTACATAGGTTATGTGGGATTCCCATTCGAGTTGGTCATCTATAACAATCTCGAGATATTTAAACTGTTTAACAGGTGTGATATTAAACAAGCTGGACACATTGAGGGAAGTAAAAGGTGGTGTGTAGCGCGCAGAAACATAAATTGGTAGGTTCTGCGCCCTACTCTCCATCTTTTACTTTCCTCAATGTGCCCAGCTTATTTGATATCACACCTGCTAAACAGTTTAAAACTCTCGGGATTGTTATAGATGGTCAACTCAAATGTTGATGGATATAGGCTAAGGCTTTATCATTATCATTTTCCAAAGGTTGCGTTAGTGAAAATATGTTATTACTATCAATAGGTAATGGAAAAACCCAATTACACCATAACGAATTCGCTCAACTCCAAGTAGCCCCTCATTTTTAGAAGAACGAAACTAACGTGTAATAATTATCAAAGAAGAATCAAATGATTCTTCCTCAGTGATGAAAAATGTCCAATACTACTCTCATCACAAAAGCAATCACAATATCCTCAGCTGCATATCTCCAACGAAGAAAACTTTGCGAAAAAATATGAACGTATTTTTACAACTCCCGACTTATAAGAATCGGGATTCTTTCACCACATGAATCTACACGGAGCCTTCAGTTCGGCGAGTTTTATATGTAAGGTACGATATTTAATTAAAAAGTTATGGAGCTGACGTGCCAACAAAATGTTGATGGTTATCGTGAACGTGGAACTTTTTAATATCGGACTCCTGATTTGCTACAAACGTTGTGAGATAATTTATTATCAGAATCGACAAACTTATTCGTTTTACAGGTAACTGAAATAAGGGTGATTTGGTTTAGTTTTCCATAATATTATTGGCAGATGTTATCGAAGACGATATGAAAGCTTGCAAACGGAATAGGATCAAATCAGAGCTTAAGAACTTTACTCAGAGCGTTCAAAGAGAAAAAAAATCACAAATTATTGATCATCTACTACAAATAGAATCAGATATGTTTAACGAATAGCGGTTTGAAATTTTCGTTCGGAAAAAGCAAAACATATAATTTTCACAAAAACATAAATCAGCTCCAGGATCCAACAGTTTTGATTCTCAGAAATATAACGATTGAATATAAGAATGAAATGAAATATTTGGATCTGAATCATCAACAAGGACTCGTATTAGAAACTTTATGACAGTATCGAATACGTCCTAGTAACATCCTTGAATACTATTCTGACAATACAATGGATTCTGTTACTACAACATTTGAATTATCTCTCATTACAGAGGAAGAAGTTTTGACAATTTTGAACGAAATAAAATCAAAGGCTTACGGACATGACAATTCGAATATACAACTGATATTTCTCTGTTGCCTTCATATTGTACCACATTCAACACTTATGTTGAATAAATGCATTACACATCATTATTTTTCAAAAAGTTGGAAATATGCTTTCATGTTATCACTACCGAAAAATTCCCGACCCACAGAATGGTCACACTTGGGGAGTATAAGTATATTACCTGTTTTGTCCAAGGTATTGGAAAAAATAACTGGAAAACAGAGGAGGAAGCATACAGAAATCAATAAAATATTACCACCAATTCAGTCTGGTTTCAGATCTGGTTACAGCTGTTGAATAGCTTTAGCAACTTTAACAGATGATATTTTGTATGCTTTGGATAAAAATGAGGTGAGTTTTTGGTATCGATTGACTATTCTAGGGCATTTGACACGTTAAATCATCAAATATTAACTGCAATTTTACATTTTATTGGTTTGAGTACTTCTGCTTGTTCCTTCCTCAAATAGAAAAATAAATATCAAATAGCGTAGTGGTTCACCAAGGGGTTCCACAAAGTAGTGTATTGGGACCACTTTTATATACATTGTATACCTCCAATTTTCATAATCATCTGACATATTGCAATAACCACATGTTTGCCGATGACACGCAAATTTATTGAGCATTTGAATTTCAAAATATGAGGGAAGCTAATATAAAAATCAATAATGATTTTGAAATCCTCCTTAATCTTTCTAATGATTATCTTTTATGTACGAATTGTAATAAATCTTCTGCTGTATTATTCGGTAGCGATACTCAGAAACACGAAGCTTTGAGTGAAATGCAGATAATCTTAGGGGCTGATATGCTGACTTTTAG